TCATGTTATGGTTGGTCTCTGAAACTGAACGAGCTGAAGATTGCAGGTCCGAAGTGCATTTGAAAATGATTATGATTCCGACTGAAGGTCTCTGAACGGGGATTACGGAGCCGTCTTCGATATCTGCTGCGGGCCTCCCAGAACAAAGTTACGGGGCCGTATTAGGGAAAAGCATAGTGGCATTCACTACGTATTGGCAGCGCGGGGATTCATCGCTCGAAGCACCGTGGCCTAGTGGATGCGTTGCAGGTCTCTCGGTCACATTGTCGAAGGTTTTGATCTATGAAGCATTTTCTATTTTATGCCATTTTTCCCTAGAATGGTCTTACTGGTGCATTAGAAAGCATTTCTGCAATAACATTTGTGCTCCGAGAATGCCACCCAAGAATGTTTTGAACTTAATGAGCATTATACAACTCCATGCAGAGCTATTTTGGTCTGTTGATGTCACCGAACCGACGACTCGCAGCAGGTTCGAAAGCACCACTTTTGGCATAGAACACCTTTCAAAACTATGAGAGTGATGGATGAAAGTCTCTCCCTTTATGATCTGCAGGATTGTCACCCCAGAGCCACGTCATGGGAAAGCCTTTCCAAGGATCCTTGCGCACAGCTTCGTGTGGTTTGGTGTCCAGCCTCGTTCGGAGAATGAAGCCATTCTTCAAGGCGAGCGCCTTCGTTAGAGAGCATTACTTGTGTACAAAAATAAAGCTCTTCGAAGCAATCAGAAATCAAGAGCCAAGAATGGGCACTATTTACCCTTCACTGTCCCCGATCAATGAAAATCTGGCCAGTTTTGAGCGACTTTTTTTCCGTGGGCAGAATCGGCTATGTCTGAGTATTGAGCTCCTAATACCAAGTTCACATCCGGTCGACCCGTAACCTCCTGGCGCTCGCTCATCGGGCGCCGGCGCCAAAAATACCCAAAATGACTGGCGCCTGTTGCGCGGGCGCAAGGAGAATTTCGGGACAAGCGGATGTGCTATTCGTATTCAGGAAGTTAAACCACCCCAGGAAACACATTCAAGCCAAGTCTGTCTACGGAGAAAAAACTCGGTCAAAAACTGGCTCGATTCCGGATGATTGGGGCAGTATAGGGTAAATAGTTGCCCAAAGAATGTTCTCCATGGAATCGTATAAAATGGCTCCATTCGTTCAGAAATATTTTTTGGTGGCATTCGAGCACAAGAGTTATGCAAAAATTTTTGATGCACAGAGATCACTGTAGAAAAAATGCAAAACAGAAAACGCATCAAGGATCCAAACCTTCGACTATGCGACCGTGATCACTAGACTGTAAGCCCACCTCTATGGATCTTGATCCTCACAATGCATGATGTGATTGGGTCCGCAGCCGTAGAAGCGTACCACGTTATCTGCTCAAAAATACACCGGAACGGACCTGCAGACTAGTGATGTTATTCATGGTTATTGTAGTGAAGAGCACTTGAAGAGACACCTGAAGACAGAGACAACTGCAAGCTCAGAAGTGGGGAACGGGCAGTGGCAAGAAGTGCGACGGTCGCTGACAACGACGTCATAAAATAATAAACATATAAAAGTACATGCTCGGACATTTTTGAGCCGTAGGAGCGCATCTGCATGCAGGGGGAGAACCTATCTTATAAGCTTCACCTTTCAACACCGGAAATATCACAACAAAGGCACGAGCGGAATTCTTCTTGAACGGCGGGCCTAGGTTTTTGGTACCCTTCGTAGGTAATAGGTCGTAACGACCCTTGACCTGTTTCCCCTACAGAAGCTCCGCTCTCATGAAAGAAA